AAAGGAGAATGGGGCAATATCATGAAGGCACAGTGTTGCATGCTTCTCAGTAGCAATCAAAGGTAACGACTTTAATATGTAAATGTTGATGTTATGAAACCGTGGTGCTGTACTTGGTAACTTAATGTTTTCTATATTTGCGTTGTTTTTTGGATCAGTTTTTTGTTTTTTACAAATGTTAAAGCAAAGAACTACATATTGCTTTCAAGCATTTTAGAGTGCATCCCTTTTAGGATTGTATATTTATGGCCTTGCCACAGGCCTAAGTGAGAGTACCCTGCACGGGCCATATCTTTGTTACTGAGCTGCATGAATCAGATTTCATGTTTTTTACTATTTTCATTTTGAAAACAATCAGACTTGGTTTTATGCCTTAATGCAACAAATGTAAAAGTAATATAACAGTAAATTTACAATATGAATAAAACCGATCACAATGATGGAATAAGGTACATACCAAATGATAGTCATAGGTTGTGTCATTCATAATAAAAGTTTAAATATATGAATATTACCAGCTCTGTCATTGATAAAGTGAAACAACAATTTATTGTGGCTTCAGTGAAAATATTATATCTTAAAGGGGACCAGTTACACTCATTTCCAGCTTCACATTGTTATTCTTGGACTCCACTAGAATAGATTTGTATGATTCGCAGTTCAAAATAAACGTTAAAAACTTTATGCTAGGCCTTGGTGCAGCCCCTCAGTTCATCCACTGTCTGAATCAAGTTGTTTTAAGGCTGATATTGATTGGTGATTGGTTGCCTCTCACAGATTTTAACAGGTGGGAGGAGCTTCTGTTAGATGACCATATTAGGAATATCTGTTTTCTCTGACATCAACCAGTGTTAAAAAAAACAAAACAAAAACAAGAAAAACTCTTAAACCTGAGCATTTGGTTAAAAGGAATTAGTCGCACATGTACTAACCTTACTTTTTTTAATCTTTCACCATATTTAATGAAAGCCTCTAAAACTGTAACAAGAAAAAGCATAATAGATCCATTTTAATGTGCCATTTTTCACAACAAAAAAAAAAAAAATCAGTGCAGGTGTTTTCATTTAATCTTCTGTTTGACACGAAGATTTAAAGTGTTGACATCTACATGACTACAAATCCGTTGTTAGCCCTAGAAATGTTTCTTTCTAAAAGCCTCCTGTAATCACATATGGATTACATATAAATTAGATTACCGTACTGGTATTCGTTGAGTTTTTCCATTGTTGGTGGAACTGAGTTAAAATCCAAATAATCAAGGTAACAATTGCAACTATTTCAGTTTTTTGCCTTAATGAGTTCTGGGTTTTCTGTCTGTCTCTTAGGAGACAGCAAGAGAAAAGGATGAAGGAGGAGGGGGGCATGCTGCTGCCATACAGCACACTTCATTTCCCTGTTACACAGTTTTTAAACCACTGTTGAATCTGTTATTATACAAAACCAACGAGACTGATAATGATTACAGCCGTATGTATGCGCTGAAGCAATTTCCCTACCCTTGGTGGAGCAGAGTACTAAACCGCTGCGCTTAGTTTTCAGTGCACACTAAAATGGGTGTAACTGGTTCTTGTGTGGTTGTTGGATCATTTGCATAAAGTGGAGTTTAAATCTCGGGTGCTCAGCGGGCTGCACAAAGCATCCTATCACTCTCTAAGTATGTTTATGTGAGCGGCCCATTATTCTGCAGTTATTGCACAGACATGAGTGTGGTTTAAATCTTCTCACAACATAGATATTGTTAAATTATACTTTAATGTTGTTTCAAGAATTGCGCATGCTATTGATGTAAACCTGACTTAGCATTTGCCAAATGTAGCCTCAAAACCGCCAAAGTAGGTCTGCTTTTTCTTAAAATAGCACAGTAACTTTACTGGATTTATCCTACCGTGTTGGGAATGAGTTTTGTTCAAGTAACCATGCTTTATATGCTAAATTGTGAAAGCCGCAGTAGCAGGTATTAAACTAAACCCTATCATTTCTTTTCTTTTTTTTTCAGATAACTTGAAATTGAACATTAAAATAGCCACTTACAAAAACAGATCTGAAAAGAAAAGAGTTGCAGGCTCACAGCCAGAAATTTGTCAATTATCAGAGTCTGCGTTGAACTCTGCTGGCTTCAAACATAATGACTAGATGAGATGATCATCCTCATCTCATCTATTCATAGATAATAAATACGTTTTTGTCACATCTGTTTGCACTTTCAAAGCGTTTAAAAACATCTGATGGTTGATTTTGCTGCTAAGATAAAGACTTTGTCTTGAGTTACATAATCTTTAGATCCTTCTTTCATTACAGTGACTGAATTCCTCAGCGATGCCATCTGACCTCTTTTCCGCTCCCTTTGATTTGTGAACTCTTGCGCAGCAGCTTCATGAATAATCTGTGATCGAGAGGCCATGGTGATTTTTAGTGCCTTTTCTTTGGTTTTGAGATCACAATTCTTGGAGAAGCAGACCCCCAAACACTGGCAATAAACCTAATGAGTTCTCACTTCTGTGATGACATGCCCATTTATTTTTAGCAGGCTGAATTTTTGATGGAACATGAGTGTTGGAGTAAAAACCTCAGCATCTTTTTCCTCTCAGCTGTGTCCGTCCCAGCTTGTCTTTTGTGACGGAGAAAGCGCGCAGGGAACATAAATTATCCATGAGTGATGAATAATAAAGAAAAATGGTTATTTTTTCTCATGAAAAGAAGTGCTTTTATTGGATAAATTCAGTAAAGCTCCTACTTTTTCCAAAGATGAACCAAAAGTCATATTATTCGTTTTAGAAATACAAGCGTTAATTTCAGTGATATAAAACTTTATTTCAGCTGATTGCAACCACTTTCCAGGCTTCATTACCTGCAGTCTGATTGTTTAAAAAATGACTCACATTTGCAGAGTATTATGAAACTTTCTTCCATTATTCATTGTTTCTCAAGTGTGGCGACGGATATCTTAGAACTAAATTGTACTGTAAAAGCTAACTGTGCCTTTTTTTATTGCTTAATACCAGAGTGCATTGCTTTGCTTTACTTTGTTTCATGCATATTTTTCTCATTTAGGTTCCACTCAGTCAGCCTGTCCACATTGATCACATTGATTGTCTATTGTATTTTTGTTTGTTTGCTTTCGGAAACGTGTGTCAATTTGTTTTGGTCATTAAATTTAAAGTCGAAGGACAAATTTGATAATATTTGGCATATATGTAAACTTTTAGTATTTATCATGCAGGAATTATTGCAATCTGAGTTAATCCCTATTTAACAAGAGTTAACGAGAAAAATGAAATTGTAGAGATTGTTCCTGTTATTGTATATTTTATTTATAATAATTGGAGGAATCTGCCTGATGCTGGTGTTCAATACAAAAAATAAATAAATAAATAAATAAATACATTTTGGGACTTGATAAAAATACAGCATTCTATGTCAACATTCAATTTCTACCCTCAGAGTCTACAGTAGTCATCGTGTTACGTAAAGCAAGTTGCTCATCAGTATAAACTAAATGTCTGTATGATACAAATGCAGCTCTTCTTGGCCAGTTAGACGCTACAACTACTGAAGATTATGTGGAATTGGGGAAAAACAAGTCTTTTGATATTAAAAAGAAATAATAGCATGTTCACAGTAAAATAAAATAAAGATGTTTCATTTAAAAAATTTAAAAATAATCACATTAAATCTATATTCTTACCAGCCATTTCATTAGGTACACCTGTTTGACTGCTTAACAAAAATATCTAATCAGCAAATCACATGGCAGCAGCACAATGCATCTAGGCATGCAGATATCCAGTGAAGAGAGATGATTTAAGTGGCTTTGAAAGTGGCATGGTTTTTGATGCTAGACAGGCTGCTCTGGGTGTTTCAGAAACTGCTGACCTAGTGGAATTTTCCCACGTAACCACCTCTAGGGTTTACAGAGAATGGTCTGAAAAAGGAAAACTGGGTTTGGGTGAAAATACCTTCTTGATTCCAGAAGTCAGAGAAGGCAGGCGACAGAAACTCAAATAACTACTAGTTACAACCAAGATATGCAGAAGGGCATCACCGAATGTAGCAGCAGAATACCATACCAGGTGCCACGAGAAACTGAGGCTACAATTCACAAGGGTTCATCAAAATTGGACAGTAGTAAGATTGGAAAAATGTCAGCTAGTCTGATGCCTGCTTCTAGCAGAATAAAGTCCCATGTCACAAAATTATATCATCTCAGACTGTTTTCTTAAAAAGGGGAACATTTGCAGCAACTGCATGATGCCATCACATCAATATGGACCAAAATTTCTGAGCAATGTTTCAGCATCTTATTGAATCTACATGTATGTCATGAAGAAATAAGCCAGTTCTAGAGGCAAAAGTGGGTCCAACCCAGTACTAGCAAGGTGTACCTGATGAAGTGAAAGTGTATATTGTAACAATTAAATAATATATATTAACATAAACATACACCATCTATATGAAACACTCCTACAACAGCTATGCGTGATATGGACTTCTGTGGAAAGTCTACGGCATAACTGACGATGTAACCAGTCACCCCTTTTAACCCTACACTGGACCTTCCATGGCATTCAGTCGTCGTGGGCTATGTCGACCCGTCCCGTAGTTATATTTCTTGGGAGGGGCACATCAGGTTATGTGGAAGGTGTACGGTTAAAAAAGGGGTTTCCGGTTATCTTGTAAGTTATGCCGTAGATTTCCCGCTGAAGCATAATTCAGGCATTACTGCACCAAGTGTGTCGTTTTAAAAAACATTTGAATGTCTGCAACACATTTTTTGTATTGACTGCATCATATTATAAAGGGGTTGAGGGGTTAAAGATTTTTCCCACTCTGAAGGAAACTCTTCAATTTTTCAAAGCCAGAAGCAAGTAAACACATTTAAAACAGTTCAAGATCATCTGCATTTCACACACTCACTCTGCATTTGTGCTCTGAAAAGACCTCCTAATATTAGCTTTTTTGTTTGTTTGCTTTCTCAAGTAAAAATAAGGACAAACAGAAATGTTAAATCATGCATGTTAACAGGATTAAAATGTAAAAATATACTTAAGGGACCATTAAAGTCAAAAATGGTCTGGTGATCTCAGTCCACTTTCTAACAGCCTGTTTTATTGTACACAAATTTTAGTTTACAAATATTGTGCAAATCGCCATTACTTTCTATATTTGTAAGGGTTTTGGCCACAGTCAGTACCTATAAAATTACTGTATGTATCACCAAAGCTGTAACATAGTAAACCTAGATATCAGGAAAGAGGGATAACTTGCCATTTGCTGCCTCACTAGTTAGCATTTCATTCAATTTTCCATGAAGCACATCTATTTGTGGTTTATTGAAATTAGGATCTGCGCTCAAACATGTTTTTGAAAATCAGATTGGTCGGGCAGAGTTATCTGTTGTTTAATTCATAATGATTCTGGCATCTGATATAATTACATAACTGTTTGAGGAAATTACATTAAGATTGATTCAGCATCTGCAAAAACTGTCCTCTTTCCCTGTCAATGTGAAATAATGCAAATGGATCGGCGTGCGGCCTCAATTAATCAAATATGCGCCAACTGCTATTTGAGGCAGACGTCTACTTTATGTGACATGCAAAGAATCTCTTACAAATGCTAACAAACCAGTGGGTCATGCTGCTTCCATTGGAACCTTCCAATGGAGATACCTCCTTCTCCTACCTCCCCCAAAATCTGAACAGACTTTTCATAAAATGCCACCCCTCAAAGTATTTTTCCATCATAGTGCAGCGGAAAGATAAATCAAACGTATGTACAAACAGAGAGCTGTCAGTTTTTGTGTAACCTTCAGATATTAGATTCCAAGATACAAAAATCTAGGTTACGACCTCAACTTGTCAGCACGACGTTACCTTGCTACCAGGTAGGTACACCCTAGGATGAAGGCTGGTGCATCTTACTACACTGCTGCCTAATCTAAATGGTATACCCAGTGTGGTCTCAGCTATCCGAGTAATCTGTATATTACTGGATTCAGCTGAATTTAAGGTCAACTGTTGCCGGATGACTCTTTCATTCTTCAAGAGAAGATATCCTCTTTGTCCACTTCTGGTGAAGCAGGTCTAGAAATGTCAAAAAGATGCTGTGGAGAGCTAGAGCTTGAATGGCTGGCTTTCAGGAGTTTTAGCACTTCTGTGAGTTGCATCTCTAGGCCTGACATTCGAACATTTAGGTTCTTAAGGTCATCCTTTAGCTCTAGCTTGAGCTCCTGCAGTGAAGCCTGAAGTGTTTGCTCCGGGATGGGGTAGAAGAAATGCCTCATTTCTGGAGGCTGGGCAGGACTGCGGTCCTGAGGCGTCAAGCGGAAGTCACCCACTTTGTCCAGGCGTAACTCACTTTTGGTAATGCCGCTGTCACATGAGTCCGTCTTTTTTAAAGAGATTGGGGATTCTTGCACCTTGGTTCGTTCAGGTAAAGTCTCCATGGATTCAGCTTTAGACACTGTGTTCCAGTTGTCAGCTTTGGCCATCGACTCCTTAAAGCGACCCCAGCCTTTCAGTTTGGGTGGTTCAGCAGAGCGGCCACCAACCAAAGAAATGGACGATGGCACTTGCAGTTTTGCCTTGTCTGCAACCGTACAGTTGAGAGGTGATGGCGATTGAGGAGTTGAAGATGAAGGTGTAGCTGGGCTTTCTGTTACAGTGACAATGCTGGTAGTTGTAATAGCTGATTTAATTTTGGGGATGTCCACATAGAGAGGACCCTTCTCAATGTCTTGTTCATCTGTTTCTGGTTTCCCAGTCACCATGCGGGCCTCCTTCTGCTGTCGAAAGCGCTGGAAAAGTTTTCGTACTGGGTGATCTGGTGGCAAATTCAGAGGGGCTTCATTTTTACGGTTCCGTCTCTCCTCCTCTTCCCGTTTCACATCACTGATCTTTCGAAAAACGATCTGAAAGAGAATTTAAAATTCTTATGACTAAAAGACCATCATTAAAAAAAAACAAACACAAAGTTTATTGACCAAAAGTTTCAGATTTTGACAGGACACAAGAAAAATTATACCCAAACCACTCTCACACCCATGTCAGTTTAGTCTCCTGAAGTAGTACAAAAGCAGATCAACATCATTTTCACCATCTCTCTTATTGATTGTAGAATTTGTGTGTGAAAGATTGCCAATATGTCAAAATGTGTGTTCTTTGCAAATGTCACTTTAAAAAGGCTAATTCCCATGGCGCACAGGGAAAGTTCATATCAAGCCTCTGGCTTCAGTGCGTGAAGGCTCACTGTCAGTTTACCACCCAGATGATGCTAATGGACAACTATATTTTTAGGCATTTTGTATTTTCAGTTTTTAGCTTTGTAGCTTTATTTCTGTGCTTTAAAATGTCGCAATCCCAGTCTCCCAATCCAGTGATTCACTTGTCTCATTAATTAGGGATTAATATTAATTAAAAGTAATAATTAAAAAACACAAAATACACATTCTGTATTCACATGTTCAGGAATACTTTATTAACCTTCATTAACGTCACACTCTAACATTCAACATATAACATTCATTTTGTCAGTAAGCAATTCAACTTTAAGGTCTGCAAGCAAAACCCCAAAAAAAGCTGATGAAAATAAGCGCAAACTACTCTTGACATTTTGGATTTTAATAGATGAAAATGTGAAACAATTTGAGTAGCTGTTTGTTTTTCCCAAGGATACATGACAGTGCTGAAACTCGAGAACCGGTTCTTGTATAGAACTGTTCCCAGTAGTCCAATTCCCTGGAATTATTAGTCTGCTTGCCTATTGAGCCTGCTTTTCGGTTGGGTGTGGGTGAAGAATCTAGTCTAGTAAAGCTAGTGCAGGGAACTCAACTGAAGCTGTGCTGGTTAATTCTTTACTGTCCTCACGCTGTAACAAAAACATCCTCCCAATTTGGTCATTTATTTAATCTGCAAATCTATCTCTCTAGGGAGAGATAAATTAAATAAATCTATCTCTCCCTCTGACATGTCAATGCCACTGCTGCCTTGCATCGCTACCTGCCATTTTACCACCTATTGTCCACTTACAGGCTAATCACCCCAGTTTCTAACATATTTAGAAGCAACAATGAGCTCTAACAATATTCTTCTGCTGCACTAAATACTTTCAAATGGAAAGTATCTGATTAAAATAGGTTATGTGGCAGTTTTAACTCAGAAAGTCTGGGCATTTTATTTGCAACACGCAGAAAGTCACTCATCACATTTGAAAAGGTAAGACAGCATCAGATGTACAGATCAAATGCACATTGTCTGCTCTGCTGGATCAGTCAAAAACACAATCTCAGCAGCTCCATTTGAAGGCAACATTAGGCTCCTTTAGTCAACCCATATCGGGATTTCCCTGCTGCATACATTCAGGACGTGGGACCCTGGTGAATAGTAACTTTAATGCAGAAGATGAGATTGCCTCTTCAAATGCAAACAATCCAATCTCACTTGCACTCTCCCGGGCAGGCTAACCTCATAAAGAATGAAGCAGTGATTGGTAGCTACTCTTACGCTATTGTTGATCACACCTGTTCATTTCTGAATGAAGGATGTGAGAGCGGCTTTAGTATATGGTGGCTGTTTAATGGAGCTCTGTTTTTCTATGCAGTGCTGTGTGGCTGAAGGCAGTAGGTGCACGTGTCCCTTAGGTTGAATATAAGGTTTTCTGTGGTTACCTTTTCCCAGAGTGGGAGTTTCTGGCCCCTATTTAACAAGAATTGATACGTGTGAACAATTGTGATTGTCCAGATCATGAAAGGAGGTAGGCTGTCTTCTGCTGTGAAATATATTGACATGACTAAACATATATAGGTTCAATATTGATTAATTGATTGATTTATTTAATAAATCCTCCTTTCATCTTGTTGAATTTAATGCAATCTCAACTTGGATTGCAAAAAAAACCCTCTCTCCTTAAAGGTTGCAATCTTCAGCTTTTGCTTTACTTACTGCTCACTGTCTGGTACTGGTAATATCAACACTATCTTTACAGATATTATTGGAATTTGTAAATATATTCTAAAATGTTTGTTTTATTTTGTTAATATTTTTTTTCTTTTTCATGTACCACTGTGCACAAGGCTGAAGTCTTTGCAGATGAAAACTTCTGTGTAAATCCTAAATGAAAATGCAGTCAACTGTATCTGGCATCTGAACAGTCACTCACCCTCTTACGCAGGTTATAAGTGAGCAGCAGGTTTCGAGAGAAGTGGTTGGAAAATGCCGTGTAGAATTCCAGCACCTTCTGCAGAGCGTCGCGTTTAATAACGTGGAGGTCGCAGTAGGTCAGAGCTCGCACATTGGCGCAGGACTGAGCCAGAGTCACCTCTTTCCAGAAAACGTCCCCAAATACGTCTCCCTTTCCTGCACGAGAGAGCGCACAATTTTAGTTCCATGTTAGTTCAGCAACAAGATCTGATCTTCCAGGTAAAAGAAAACAGTAAGAGACAAAAACAGGCTTGCAAAAACAGCTTTAATAATGTTTTTATATATCAGTTATCGATGATTATTGAAAATCTCAGTACCTGTAATTTAACACACAGCATTAAGTGCTACACACAGGTTTACACTAAATGGACACTTTGTAAGGTACACCTGTTCAAATGCTTGTTAATGCAAATTTCAAATCAGCTAATCCCATGGCAGAAACTCAGTACATTTAGGCATTCAAAATTCTGAAGTTCAAACCGAGCATCAGAATAGGGAAGAAAGGTGATTTCAACTGGGTATAGTTGTTGGTGCTAGATCTCAGATCTAAGTAGGTCAAAGTATTTCAGAAACCGATTTTTTCCCCACACAGCCATCTATAGGGTTACTTAAGAAAGTAGCATAGCAGAGCTTTCTGATCTGACGTTTGGATGGCAGGGTCAGATTTTCACGTAAGCAACATAAAAGCAGGCCTGTCCTGCCTTTAGTTCAGGCTGCCAATAGAGGTGTAATAATTTGGGGGATATTTTTTGGCACACAAGAGAACTGTTTGAGCACCACAGACTGCCTAAGTATTGTTACTGACCACGTCCATCCAGATCCAGTAGAAACCAAATAAAGTGGATGGTGAGTCTTTTACTTGTGAAAAAGTCCCTCTATATATGGGATGAAAGCAGCAGCTACTTGTTTTAGGTTGGTTATAAATAATACAGTTATGCAATGTGGATCATTTATGAGTCAAGAACACATTTTGGGTTGGGAGGTCTTGGAAAGTCCCCCTCCAGCATGACAGATGCTGCTGAACAGCTGGAACTAAATCCCTTTGTTCTTTTGAGGAGACTTTTATGTATATTTAAAACTGAAGACAAAGCTAGATGAGGATTTTCTGCTGTTCGAGGTAATGGCTTACAACTGATGTATTAACTATTAATACATATAAGAAATATAGCTTTCAAACCTTTATAAAGAGTGTTAAATTACCTTCATAATCTAAAGCTCATTAGACCAACTCAGTAATTTATAAGGTCTGTCATTTGTGACTCATGCACAGCACTTTTTTTAAGTTTGAGAAGCCCAGTATTACCATAAACTACCCTGAACAAAGGAGTACTATGACTCAGTATAATCAACAGCTTATCATGAATTTTTTTTCTTTTTTTTTTATTGTCTTGACATAAAACACCTTGTTATTTCTTCACATGATGACATGACGAAACACACGCAGTGGATGAAAATAAACCTTATATGTGGCAAAAGCATTAATATAAAGCAGTATGTGGTACAGTGGTAAAAATAGCAGTAGCTGATTAAACCAGATGCCCTGTCTTGTTTGCTGATTTACTTTACATGGCGTTTCTTTTTCGTTTGTTATTAGTCTCATAAGGAATTCAATACAAAGAAGCTATTTATTCATCACTATAGTTGCCTTCCGGTTCATTGGTTTCATGTTGACAGTATATTGATTTATGCAAAGAGAAAACAATAGAAGGATATTGACAGAAACCAGCCAAGGCACTGTAATATTTCCTACCAGAGCATGGCATCCGTTATTCATTAAATTACTCATAAAGCACATTAAATGATGATGTTTTAACAACAAAACATTCTGCTGTGAACAGTTTTCTACTTTATTTTTTAAAATAAGATCAAATCTAGATGCATTGGAAGACAAACTAGGGTCACTAACATGGGAAGTATCCCAGTAGTTAGGAGTAGGTCCTTATTAATATTCATTAGGCTTAGATGGTGTAGTCATTACAGACGCTGATACTGTGCTTACTTTAATCTGGTCAAGTATGGCCTCATTTACTGGCACAGGTCTCAGTTCAATACATCTATCATAACCACTGTGGGAGAAAATACTTTAGGAAATTAGTGGCCTTTGTAATAGTGTGTTTGCTAATAAATCACTTATGAGCAAGCAGACTGCAAATGTAATGATATTTACCCCCTTTTAGCACCGCCTTTGATTTCTACCAACCCCTCAGGTTTTCCATTATGCTCACCGTTGTTTATCCCAGTATGCTTAATATTAATTATCATAACATTATAGAGAGAATTCAAACAATCCAGCAATCCCTTATGAGCAAGTGTGAACTTTTTAACCCGTTTTTTTGTTTCTACTAACTCCTAAGTGAAGTATGTAGGTCTTAAAGAGCTAAATCTCCAGAAAAGTCTCTACTATAGTCACAAGTTAGTTGAGCTGGTGTAAAGCCAACCAATAAAGTTGTAGATGCACTGCTAATCATGTGCGGATTCGGGTAATATTTCTTTACAGGTTTATTATAAATTGCTCAACATAACCATTTGTTAGATAGTTATTATCTTCTGACTGTTGCGTCATTGGCTACAGATTGTGAAAGATGCAATTTTAACTAAAGCTTTTTCAAATTAGCTCATAATAAAATCTTAAGAAATAATGGAAGCTAACTAGGTATTTAAAAATAACATTGGTTTATTTCGTTTGTTATGTTGTTCAGTTTCATTGCCTTTACAATAAATCAGTGAAAAATCAATCCAGGCAGCCATATTACATGTTTGCTTGAAATGAACCTGTGGCACAGGTATTGATTGTAACCTTTGAAGGCCAAAGGATCGCAAGTGTTGCGTTGTGATTTTCTGTTCAGTCCTGAGTTATAATACTTTTAATTATTATTTATTTTAAAATGCTTATTTTCAGTTAGGTTTAGTTTAAACTAATTTCATTTGACTTAAATGAATACAGCACTGAAAATACACTCAACAAAAATATAAACGCAACACCTTTGTTACTGCTC